GTCTTCTGTCTACTGCTAGTTAGCTAATGCTGGCTTAGTAACATGCTAAACTAAGACGGTGCAGATGTTAACATCATTAAGAAACATGAGTTTCTTAACATGTAAACACTAAACATTACCATGGTAGCAGTTAGCTCACAGACTTGTAGAGCTCCTAACTTGGCTGAAGCTCCCGAGAGTCCACAGTGAAGTTTTGTGTCCTCCAGACATTCAGAGGTCACATTATATAACACAGACCAGTAAATACTGACATTCAGATAACCGTGTGTCTCTGTTGGGAATGTAAACACGGATCTGACTCCAGGACTGAAGCTACAGCCATGAGACCCACTGCTGCCTGCTTGCTCACATCAACACAAACTCTCTGATTAATCATGAAGATGAAAAGGCTGATCTTCTACCATGACTGAAAATACTTCTACCACGTCTGACTGGACATGTCACATGTTCTCCTGATGAACATTTCAGGCAGGCAGCTCAAGTCTTGTGTTTTCTGCTGCTTTTCCAATCAAAGGTAGAAAAAATGTTCAGACATGTGGTTTCTGCACCAATCTCACACATTGTTTGGTGAGGATGTGAGTCCTCAGGTCACTGGACGGTAAAGGTGAGTGGCAGGAAACAGTCTTCTGGCAACTCGTATACAATCTTTCAGACAGACCCACCATCTTCCCGTCACCGCACGGGGCAACAAATCAACTGAATATGATCGTCAGTGCTCAGCAGATGGGAGGTAAGAAAGTCAGCTACGACACACAACAAGCTGCCGTTCTGCATAAGAGTTTTGTTTTGTGGACTGACTTTCATTCTGATTTTGAGAAGTTCAAGCTAGTAATGATGAAATATTCCACAGTAGGTACTGTGAAAAAAGTCAATCATTTGTAAATAATTTCTTAATTGAAATGGATATCAACCATCAGTCCTCTGTGGTACTGACTGAAATGTGTTTGTGGTAATAGAATATACAAGTGTCACTTCAGTTTTAGTCTATTTGGACAGAGGTACTGTAACCCTGCTCAGATTTACTTTTAAGCATTATAACATTGTTTTGCCAGATCATCACAGTCAGGGAGGTCAGAGGTCAGGGTTCCTGTCCTGAGTCTTACCAGCTGTTAGTTTTGGTACCGAAACACTTCAAGTGTCCTGTCTAAAGACCTGTGGTCGGGAGGCACCGTGTCATCCGGATTATGCTCTGAGCCAACAAAGACGGTGTTTTCAGGTAAATATTAAACATTAAACCAGCTCTGGATCTGAACCACAAGCCGTGAGAGTCTAAACAGAACCAGAAAACTGTTTAGTGGATGTTAGACTGTAAAATCAGATATTTTGGTAAAAAAAAAAAAAATGAAATATGTTGTCAGTAAATATTTTACTAAAATGTTCAGTATCATCATTTATATATGATTATTTCCTATTTGCTGCTGCAGATGAGTGGAAAATCATTTCAGGGACACATGTTCTTTTGATTTGCAGACAGAAACTGTCTGAGTTTTGTCCTGTTCAAGTTTGTTTCCTGAGGAAATCGCTGAACTGAACCTACCTGAGCAGGTGAACTGTCCCTGCCAACTTCTAGAAAACTACACCTGGCTCACTCCCTTGGGTATGTCTTTAGATTCTTATAGTTATTTCTGTGTGTCGCTGAGCCAGGTGGAGAGCTGCTCGACACAGATAAGGTGGTAAATTAAGTTACTGAATTAACTTCATTGCCTGGTGTGAAAAGAAGAATTATATCAATGTTGTCATGTGTAGTATCATCCAATATCATCCATGCAAGTTGGAACTGTGTGTGACTTTGCAGACACATTCATTAATCCATTTCTTCATTAATAAAACACAATTCAGACAGACTTAGGACTGAATTTCTTTCTTAGCTTTCTTTTGAAAATTAGTGCTTCTGCTCAACATTTAAGATCCATTTTGAAAAAATGGTTTTTGATATAAAAAAACAACTAGTTTTGAGCTGCATCTGTGGTCCAGTAATTCTAATTCTAATTCTCTAACGCAGTGTACCATTGGCAGGAGACATTAGCTTGCAGAGACAAGAAGAAAAGTGTGAACGAGGCATCAGCAGCAGAGATCAGATCAAACCGTGTGAGACGTCCTGAGAAACTTGCATTGTGATAAACAGGATGTCTGGCCTGAGCATCAGCCTTCAGCAACACTTTAGCCCCAGATTGGAAAGATGAAGCAGATGTGATGTGGAATGAGCTGCTGTTTGCTCACCGCTCAATTTGGGGTCGGTCTTCCTGCGGGATCTGTCTTTGCCTCTCAGTCTGGACAGGGTCCTCTTCAACAGAGGCTCGGCCATGGTGGACCTCCTCCTCTTCGTCAGTGTGGAGTCCCGGAGAGAATAAGCCAGCAGAACGAGGAGTCAGTGCTCCTTCATGTCTCAGATCGGAGTGCGCTTAGACTTGGCCATGACTCGTCTCCTCGCTCACTTTGACTCTGTGAGAGTACAGAGCAGGAAATGAATTCCACACATTCTTTCCCAACTGCCCCCCACTCCCTCCTCCTCCCACTCTCCTCCCTCTGCAGGGTAAAAGGCAGAAGAAGAGAGGACTCTTGGGAAATGTAGTTTGTTCTCCAGTCTCCAAAAACACATTTATATTTTCTTTCTCTAACTCAAAGACTATTGGCTTTTCTCTTTGCATTTAGCTTCTTTGAACATGCTTTATCTTGAACTGTGCGATTTTCTAGTTTTCAGTTTCATTTGTTTTCCCCACATCATACAGGTTATACATACAGTACCTTGACATCTCCGTTGGAGGCCTTTTGTGTTTTTTTACTGATGTTTGTAGCATACCTGCGTTAGCCTGAGTCCATGTCACAGTGTCGAAGGTCGGCCTTTTTCAAGCCAGGAAAAATTTCATGGTTATTAGCCTGCAGACAAACAATACACTTTCCTAATACAGTGAGGTCCAGAGGTCAGGATCAAGATGAAGATGTCAGGATGAAAGTGAACAGATACTGTACTCCAGGTAGCTGGTTAACCAGCAGGCTTACTGATTCAAATCCTGTATGGGATTCTGGCTTTGTTTTATTTTATTTGTTTCTTATTTGAAGGCAAATCAACAGCAAACCAAAACACTTTAGGCACTTTAGGTTATGTTTGACTTAGCAGAGTCCTGATGATTACTGGCTCAATTTCCACAAAATTAATTAAATTGGATCAAAGTTAGTGTGACAGTCAGAGAGAAAGGAGTGAAACAATAAAGACATCAAATGAAGTTATCTCCAAGCTCATACCATACAGAGCCTGAGAACACTGTTACAGATTTCTGGTGAGTGAACTGGGGGTTACATAGCAGTTCACAGAGGTGTGGCGTGCAGCTTTTCTATGGGTACATCCCAGGTCTCTCATTAGCATCTACGTTGTGTCTCTCCTTGTGTCTTAGCCCTGCCCATGTAAGATGTGAGGAGAAAGGAATTGAGGAAACATGTTTTAGGGATATGAGGTGTCCTTTCCTTTGAGCCTTCATCTGAAGCATCCAATCACTGCCTGATTTCTGATAAAGGGACACAAACAGACATGCTAACGGGCAGATGGACAGCAGGTGTGTGACAAGCATCAGGTCGGAAGCTGGACAGGAAGCAGTGTGAAGGAAAAGCTGTGGTGATCTGAGAGTGTGAGACACCTTCACTGTGTATTCATCTTTGTCTCATGATTTGATTCAGTCAGTTCCTTCTTCATCAGGTCCCTGAGTGTGGTCTCCAATCCATCCACCAGGTGGAGACAGAGACCAGGAAAAAGTCTGAGCAGTGTCTGCTGATGGACAGCCTCCTGACACAAGGGATTTTTTCACAGCTGCAAAACAATACAACACAGATTATGGTCAAACAGCTGCCGGAAGATGTCAGAGCACCAAGAACTAAACATTACACAACTGAAAAGTGAGTTCAATCAATTGTGATAACACACACTGTATAGTTTCTTGTTACAGTAATATAACTGAGTAAAGTGCATAGATTTCTGGTGATGTAAATATTTAGTATTTTTACTTTCCTGTACAATAACAGTTATCCTGATCCAGCTGTCCACTAAAGGCAACATCTGTCTGTTCTTTAGAAGAAACAGAAAATTTTCATTTTATTATTGGTGCCTTTCTGTAGAAGTTCTCATGTCACTGTGATTTGTTTGTTAACAGTGGTGGGCCCAAAATGTTTCCATTTTCACAATTAAGTCCCAGAGGCTTGGTTTGTTCTGTCCTACTGAGGAGGACAGAGGAGACATTCAAGGCAGTCAGAGGACGAGTCAGCATATTAAAAAGAGAGTAGGCACCGGGTTTGTACATCTGGAGCTGCCAGTCAAACCTGAATTCATTAACCTCCCCTGTTAATTAATTAAAGACATGTCAGGTTCTATTAAGAGCAATTAAAGACCTGGAATAATTTTAATCGACCCTGATAAGATGCTGTCGTCACAGAGAACAAACAGAGGACAGCTGTCCTTCTCTCTGCTGCATCACCTACTTGTCAGGCCAGACTCAGGGGGCATTTTTCAGTACAAAGTACGTCAAGTTAGGATGCATATTTCAAAATGCCAAGGGTGTCACCAGCAAGTCAGACCAGTCTTAGTGTTGGGTTTGACTTCCTGGGTTATGTTAAATGAGGATTGAGATAGATCAGGGTGATGGCGAGGGTCCTCCTCTGCTGTCCAATTAATAACCTCTGTCTCCGCAGTGTTTTTTAAAACTGGACATCTCCAGTTATGGCCATTACACAAGGCAAAGACTGACTGTAAGAGTACTTGCATGATTTATTAGGTGCTACTCTGATTGGCTGGGGGTGAAGATGAGTCATCAGCTCCAGCCAATCCAAGTAGGTGCTCATGAATAATGCACATTTTATGGTAATGACCTTTGTAACAGCCTGCTAAAGGACAAAGGAGAATCTGGGCTGTTTGTAAAGATGGATTTAGAGAAATCTAAACAACTTCAGATGAAAAGAATTTCTCACATGGTTTTCAAATATACTCAGTATTTATTTAAAAAATGGGCCAATGGGCTAAATACCAGTTCTCTTTATGTTTTATTTTATTTTTGCTGTCATTTTTATGGTAACGTTGCCAGAAGTATGCCACTGAAAATTACAGATAAACAAAAATAAAGATGAAAAAAGACTAATATGTGATTTTACATTAATAAACAACAAATAACTAATGTATATACACTCACTGGCCACTACTTTAGGTACAACTGTACAATCAGAATCAACTTTATTGGCCAGGTGTGTTGAACACGAGAGGAATAGTCCAGTACAACATCACCTTTAACTATGACCCCAATAATAAATATATAATTGAATTTATACATTTATGACAATTTCACCAAAAACTAACATTTTGAGTTTCATAAACACAGATGTTAAAGTGGAAGTGTTGCACTGAATTGCATACAATTGTACCGGTGTACCTAATAAAGTGACCAGTGAAATGTATATAAAAGAAAAAAAAAATTCCCCACCTACCCCACTTTGGGGCGGTCTTACTCCTTCCTTCAAGATCGGGTCCTCTACCAGAGGCCTGGGAGCTTGAGGGTCCTGCACAGTATCTAAGCTGTTCCTAGGACTGCACTCTTCTGGACAGAGATCTCAGATGTTGTCTACATATACATATACATATACATATACATATACATATACATATACATGCACATATACATATACATATACATATACATGCTGCACATGAGCTCAAAGGAACAACAAAGACAAGAATCCTTTTCACCTTTCCTCCTGTTAAAGTTTTTATGACAGAGGTGTCAGCTGTAAAGGGTTCTGAGACACTGCTGTGATTGTGTAGCAGAAATAAAACTCAGTTTTGGGCTCCGAGTTAGTTTTTCTGTTTTCTCTTCTCGTATTGGAATCTTTAATTGAACCCTGACCTTTACATTCATCACTAATAAACTGAAGTCAAATGATTTTAAGAGATTTATCTGAAAATAAAGGAAGTACAATCATTCCTGATTTAATTCAGCAAACCTGTTTCATTTACAAACAGAAAGGACCAATAATGAACAAATATCCAGTAGAACAACCTGCTGACCTTCTCTGTTTCCTCTTGGTGGCACTGTTCTGTCACTCGGCCAGCTCACTGCTGGGATGGAGGGAATTCCCTGAACTGGGACGACTGGAAATCCCTCTGCAGCACACACTCTGAATCTGAAAGTGTTTTTCTGTTTGGAGCTGAAGGTCGACCGCTTTGTTTCCTCTCATCTTATTTTCATTTTGCTGGTTCCTCGTCTGTTTCTCTGCATTTTGTTTCTGAGTCCCACAGTAGCTGCAGTAAAGTCAGACAATAGAGTCACAATAAAATAAAACAGTGAAGCAGACAAGAAGGCAAATAATATAAAGTGAAAATAAAAAACGTAAGATGAAGAGAGAAAAAGAATCTAATCAGACTCAAATAAAACAAAAGCATTAACAGCATGGGTTAAAATAAAATAAAATGATAGAGTACAGTAAAATAAAAGAAGAGAAAATGCCACAGAACAAACCACAGTAGAGTCAGACATTAGTCATAATAAAACACAGTAGAGGAGAGGAGAACATAAGGACAAACCAGAAGAGAACAGAACGTACGAACAGAAATCAAACTGAGCAAATGAGTCAAATAGAGTCAAATAAAACAAAATATATTCTGCTGAAATGAATAAATTAACAAAGAACAGAAAAAGGAAACAAACAGTGCAAAACAGGAGAATAAAAAATCCAAGCCAGCAGCTTGGTGGACACCTGAGGTTCAAACTACAGAGTTCAGGTGTGATATCATGATTAATCTGCAGATTCCAGTGTGAATACACACAAAAAACTATATAAAACCTGATCTGCACCAGGCTTAAATTTAAAAACAGTTGATTTAAAATTTAATGCCACATTTAAAAACATTTAGAAATAAACCCCAGAGTCTGTGTGAACTGATTTTACTTCACACACTTTGCTCCTTATTGGATTTAGTTCACATTTTATTGCAATCAAACCATAGTTGTACATTGTATTTATTAGTGATGCGACTGATTTTAAACCTTGACTGATTAATTTCAGAACAAATTTGTTTCATATGGCTCCTCTCAACCCTGATTTTTTCAGTAGACTACTTACATTAAGATTAAGTTCTGATTTCAGGTCTGAGATATCGCAGCTCTGACCAACATCTTCAACTCTGCTCACAAATGTTAGTTTTCTGCTCTTCAGCCGATCTGATCAAAGAAAACCTGGCTTTTAAATAAGCTGCAGATAAAGAGAAGAAATGTGATGCATGATGAAGAAAATTAAGACCGGATTCTAAAACCTTCATACAACCCACTGCAGGTGAGCAGCCCAGACAACATCCTCACTCAAAAAACTGTGGGACAGGTTTGAAAAGCAAGGACAGTTTAGTTCAGAAAAACAAAAGAATTACTAAAGAAACACTTGACACAAACCTAAAAAAAAACCACACCCACACTGGAGACATTTTTCAAAGTGGGGACATTTTGTCACTTACTTCAAAACCAGTTTTCTCCTTGAAGGTTAGATGTGGTTTCATGGTTAATGTCTGAATGTGGTTCAGGCACTAGTGTTATACCATAGTGTACTGCTGGGGTACAATATCAATGTTAAATTAGTGATACTGTATACTACAGTGAGGATCCTCAGCTGAATACTACGATTATTGGAGTTCATCTTTACAGAAGGATGGAGGAGGAGTGGAGGTGGAGAAGGCATAAGACAAAGAGGAGGTGAAGGAGGCAGAGGTAAAGGAAGAGGAGGTGGTGGAAGTAGAGGAGGAGGTGGAGGAGTAGGAGGCAGAGGAAGAGGGAGAAGAAGAGGTGGAGAAAGTAAAGGAGGAGATAAAGGAGACAGAGGTAGAGGAAGAGGAGAAGGAACTACAGGAGAAAGTGGAGGAGGTGGTAGAGGCAGATGAAGAGGAGGAGCTGGAGGAAGACGAGGCAGAGGGAGAGGAGGAGCTAGAGGGAGAGGAGGAGGTGAGGAGGCAGAGGTAAGAGAAGAGGTAGAGAGTGAGGAGAGGGAGGTAGAGGAGGAGCTGGAGGAGGCAGAGTGTTTTTCATGTGTTGAATCTGCAGTTAATGCAGAAGCAACTGAACAACTGCAATGAAGAAAATAAAAGAGGTTCGCCTGTGATTCAGTGTCTCCGGGGCAACTTTATGACAAATGGAAAAACAGAAGGCTGGAGTGAGCCTTTCGCAGACGGTGAATGATTCTTGTCACAGCTTCAGACCCTCTGCAGTCCATCACCATGTCTCCCCCTGCTTGGGTCAGACTCAGCCACATGGTCCCAGCAAATGTGTGCAGCCAGACCATGTCTCGTCAGCAGAGACGGTAGAAACCAAGCCTGTCATGTGTGCAGCATGAAACCAGCAATAAGTTGCTCATAAGTGTGAAACTTTGTGTTATCCACAATCATTCCTCAACTGTAACACAGAGTTTATTACTGTAATAAGGAAGGAGTTTTAACCCAAACCACAATCTTTTGTAAAGTGAAGATGAAAGTTCGGTATCATACAATTAGCCTACAACATGTTGTCGCCAATGTTGGTGGGCTTGTTGAATCCTATGGATCTATGAGAGGGTCAGACAAAGCACCTGTCTGGGCTGATCAGCTTGGTTGCATCAGGAACAGTTTGTCGGTTTCATGCAGGAACGTGGGGATGTTGGTGTGAACTGAGGACATTTATGTGAAGTGTGACAACTTTGCTACATGGAGACACTGTTATAAAGTGGGGATGAGAACAACTGTCTGAAGTGACTGGTGTAAAAATGTTTATTGTTTTATCAAAGTGCTTGTTTCCATGAATCTCTATCACAGAGGTGGAGAGGTCAAAGTTCGCACAGTAAAAAGACACGGTGGACACCGATATGGAACATACGCCAGGTTAAAATAAACTGGAACTACAGGCCAGGCTGTGAACAGATCACCTGCCAGTGTGTTTACAACTGCATTAAGAGCAGGCTTTACTGATCCAGATCCAGGTAGAGACTAACTCGGTGTCTTTTTACAGTCTGGTGTTGAGCTGCTTCGCTGGTTAATAACCTGTGCAGGCTGTGCTGGATGCGTTCAGGTGCTGAGATGTAAATGAACACACACTGATGAGGAGGAGGTACACAGCGGAGAGCAGTCTGCAGGTCAGAGGTCGACTGTTAATGAGAACAAGTTTGACTAAACTCTGAGATCACTTCTGTGGAGAATCTCCATCAGGTTAATGAATTCTATCGACTGCAGCGGGCGAGTATCTGCATCTGCTGAATACCCTGTAAACACCTGGCTGTGGGGTCAAAGGTCAGTTGATAATGAAAACATTTATAGTCATGGATTAACTGGAAGTTTCCTCCTGCCTGATGAGCCCACACTGTCTCCATATTTGTTTAATAACAGTGCACAGAGGCAGCGTTTGACAGTATGATTTAATAACACACTAGCCCGTCTGTACACAGCACCAGCTTGCGGTGATTCAGATCAATACAAACTGATAAATATCAGGGGAGGTTTGGTCTGTGTTCAGGTCACATTCAACTACGTACTCTGAGGTCAGAAAGCTCTGGTTTAATGAGACAAGAAAAAGGGGGAGAAATTAAAAGCGCACAAAGGAGGAAGCCAGTGAAGAAAGGCTGAAAGCTACAAACTAAAGAGCATCCTGCTGCTACTTCACCACCCCTGGAGGAATTGGGGAGAGCCAGGCTTTGTTCCTGCAGCAGCTGATGCTTAGCTTGATCCTATCGTCAATGCATCTGACTCATCTCCATTGACGCAATTGACCTCTTAAGAGAGTTTTAGTAAGAGACAAAAACAATAGGTGAGTCCCAGTTCCCTTATTTTATCGTATCTCAATCCTTGCTTGACCCGTAAGTTGTTCCAGTCCACCATGATAATGGACACCCCAAAGTTCTTATTTCTGCTCTGAGGACTAAGGCAACTGCTAGAGGAACTATAATCGAGGACACACAAGTCTGTTACAGAGTGATACCCCTTTATAGGCAGTCAGTCTGTAATTGAGCGTGCCACATGGAGGCTCAAGCAAAGGATGCCTGAGTCTGTTACAGAGTGATGCCCCTTTATAGGAAGTCAGTCTGTAATTGAGCGCGTCACATGGAGGCTCAAGCAAAGGATGCCTCATGTCAGTCCTTTCACCTTTTCCTTGCATCTTACATGGGCAGGACTAAAACGCAAGGAAAAGACATCAGTGAGGGAAACATGGATACAGTTAGGAGAACTGGGATTTTCCTAATGTCTGTGATCAGGCGTGAACTACAAACCAAACTGTTTTCTGTCTGTCCTGCGGAGGGATCCCTCCTCTGGTGCTCTTCCTCATGTTTCTTTCATTCATTCCCTGTTAAAGTTTTCTGGGGGTTTTCCTGATCAAAGGTGTTGAAAGTCCATTGCACAAGATTTCTGACAATGTGTCTGGACTTGAAACTCAGAATTAGCAGTCAGTCACTGTCAAACTGAGTTAGTACATGAAGTACTCTCACTGGTAGTAGTAGCAGTAGTAGTAATAGCTTGACAGGTTTA